GGTTGAATGAACTCCATCTCCTTCCCAGTGTCAGCAGGAATACAATTCATAAGCATAATGCTGACTGATGGAAGCCAGGAACAATTCTAATTAGAGTTCAAAAGCAGGCAAAACAAATCTCTAGTGTTAGAAGTCAGGCAGTGAACACTCGAGAGGGAAGCAGTGCCTGGAAGGAGACAGGAGGGAGCCTCGAGGACACTGGTTATGTATGCTATGAGCTGGTTTCTGGCTACACAGCTGTGTTTAGTTCATGAACATTCATTGAGCTGAATACTTACGTGCATGTTTCAGCACATATTTTATACTTCAATAAAGTTTTCTTTAAAAATATTCTATAGACTCCACATTGTTCTAGAACAATATTCCAATGCTTCTCCCTGGTCTAAGGCCCTTTATAACCTGGTCCCAAACCCCCCTTTCCAGCACCATTCCTGCTAACTCTGGCCAAGTCTCAGCACAAGCAAGCCATCACTAATACCTACAGTGCACCATGTTCTTCATAGTCCGCTGATTCCATCTCTCATAGCCTGAGTACTCTCCCCACTTTAGCTAGTTGGTTAACTCTGTTTCTGAGTACTCTCCCCCACTCTATCTAGTTGGTTAACTCTGTTTCTGAATACTCTCCCCCACTCTATCTAGTTGGTCAGCTCTGTTTTAAATGGTAAAAAGCAGGTTGAGCATCAGGATTCTCTACCAGGATCTACCAGGAAATTTTTCCTCAGTGCACACAATTCTGGGCAATTACTGTTCTGTTTCTCCTAACAGCCTGTGTATACTTGCCCTTAATCCATTGCAATGTTATTGTTGGTCCAAGAGCAAAGTGTCATGAAAGCAAAGACTGTATCTTTTATCTTTGTATATGTAACATAGAAGACAACATCCTGCACATAGCAAATGCCCAATATATGACCAGAATATGAAAAGTAACAAGGTTAATGACATTTAGCTTATAGCCAGGTACAGCCAACCTTTTGACACTGTACCATGGTGTTGTCATATACAAAGTTCAGACACTACTAAACTGCACAACCAAGTTCAAAAGAAAAAAAGAAGTTGTAATGTTTTGAGAAATTTATGATGGGGGTGTGCATTTGCAAGTATCCTTGTCTACACAAAGCCCAGGGCCGTCAGTTGAACACACTGCAAGGACATTTTAGTTCTGTTACAAAATTTGTCTTTAGCCAGTTTTGTAAGAAAAGTGTGTGTGTGTGTGTGTGTGTGTGTGTGTGTGTGTGTGTGTGTGTGTGTGTGGTGGTGTGTGTTTTAATGGAAACTAGTTGGGTACAGTGTCCCACACTTATAATCCCGTAACTTGGGAGGTGAAGGCAGGTCGGAGAACCAGAAGAGTTTAAGGTCATTTGGGGCCACATAGTAAATTGGAGGTTAAAGCCAGGCTGTAATACATGAGATCATACCCGAAAGGAAAAAGAAAGAAAGAAAGAAAAGAGTGAGAGAAAAAAAATCTGGCAGTACAGACCACAGATTTACTTTACAATGAGCATTTTGTTCCCCCATAAACTCATATATCAGAGAAATCAAATACACATTTCCACATTTCTTAAAGTGTATAATAGTGACATTGCCCATTCCCTAAAGACTTGTTGCAGAATGATTGTATTCCTCTGGAATACGGGTGAAGTGTTACTGTTCCTACTTGGCTACAAACTCATGACATTCCTCTAACATCTAGATTGGCTGTGTTTCTTGGTTATATGCCAGAAATTCCTCAGATATCCCAGTCTAGGATTTATGGACTGAGAGGTTTATGATATTTCAGAGGGCAGAACTGGCTATTGTTTTTGCATAATTGACAAATGGAGTAAATGCAGTGTAAGTCGTGACCCAGCTCAGAGGCTGAAAAGTGAGCCGGGTGGAAAATAGTAATATTCTAGCCTATGCCAAACAGCCTCAGCACAGGACCAAGCTGTGGTCATGATGGCTTCTACACAATATTTCTTCTTTGTAGGGAGCCAGAAAAGACTGTGATGATGGCAGGTAGGATGAGAAGAATTTTGTCTTGATGATTTTCTGTCATCGAGGCTACATGATCAGCAGAAGCACAGGTGTGAAGCCTGACCTAGGATGCTTGTTATCCAGAGGTGAGGCAGTGGTGAAGTAGTTGTGATAAAAAATAAGTACATACACTAATAAGTACATGCTATGTGTCGAGACGGACTAGGCCCTCTTCAGAGTGCAGACCCACTTCCATGTGATAGAGGTCTTCTCTTACCACAGGAAAGGTTGGGGCTTATTTTACACCCATTCCCTCCAGTCACAGCTGATTAAACAGAACATGGACACCTGACTCAAGTCAATCAGATGGTTGGGCTGCCTGGGTAGCCACTGGGAATGTAAAGGAGTAGAAGAAGTGGTGTTGAGAAAGTGAAGGAGAGACTGAGAGGAAGAGGGGCATGAAGGGAGGGAGGCAAGGAAAGAGAAGAGTGATAGAGAGAAGAGGGGGAGAGAGGGGAGCCCATACATGGGTAGGGGGATGGAAGGAAGAAAGACCGGTTCTTGACCACTCCCCTTTTCTAGTTCCAAGCCCTTGGCTAAGATCTGATCATTCTCTGTCCACGTCTAGCGTTTTGTTTCTGCTGGTCTGGATGGTTTCTAGGGTGAAGAAACAGGACTGCAAAGCTCTGGTATTCAGACAGACAGGATGTCTCTCTTTACTTCCCCTGTGCCACAACATTGGCATCTGAGGAGGACAGAGTGAGTTGTAAGTTAGTGAGACTGGATACAGAGGCCCCAGCACTACCACAACCTGGATCAGTGGCCGGTGCCTTCTGTTCCTCAGCAGTGAACACTGGGGGCTTGGAGGGTGTTGGTCAGTGGGAGTGTTGATTTGGTTCTTTAAAAATGCAAGTTTGCCACTGTGAATGATGACATTTGAACATCAACAAATATAAAATTTAGCCCATGGAACATTTTAATTATGATAGATAACACAGGAAATTGTATTTATGTATGGAAACTAAATTTAGAAGCTTGGACAGATTGACAGGATCTTTCCTAAATCCATGTAAATAGCCCATGCCAGGTGCTAGGAAGTGGCTTCAGAGACAGAAGCTGACCATGTAGGCAGGTCCCTCATTACCCTAAAATTTTGTGGAAGAAAGGGCTTTACTCTGGGTCAGCTCATTTTTAAGAAGTGTTCATTTTCAAGGCTAAAGAATTAACAGTTTTTGAAAGAATCATTTCAGGACGGCTCCTATTCTCTGCTCCCTTTGTGTCTGTAAACAAGGAAAGGGTGTGGCCTGACTTGGATCTGTTCTGATAGTGTTTGTGCAGCCAAGGCAGACCCAGTGGGAAAGAGGAAGTGTGTGGGTGGGAGAAGGGAAATCTCTCAGGCTCCCTCCCCTCACACACCCTGCCCCCACTTTTAGAGTTCCTTACTTTCCATAGTCTCACTCACTCTATTCACTTCAGATCTCCTGAAAACTGTGAGCAGTGACTCAGACAGGGTGATGGTGAAGGAGTTTTCTGGAGCAAGGATGTTGGACTTGGGAGATGGGAAAAGCCTTTACTCTCACCCCGTACCCTCTGAAGAGGTTCTTCGTTATGATCCCCTGGGGCACCCACTACTCTGACCCTTGTGAAGACTTGAACAAAGAACATCACCCTAGAGCACATATCTCCCCTTCAAGACTGATGGTCCAGGTCAGAGACCAGAATTCCCTGTGTAATGACAATGAGCCCTAAGTTCATATTCCCAAAGATGTGTGTACCCACTGGATTCAGGGATAACCTAGGGTCAGCTGTTTGCAGAGACCATGTACAGTGTGGATGCTACTGCTGCAGTACCCAAAAGCAAGACTCAGGAGAGAAGCCAAATGAGCCAGGGCCGGGGCCTGACTCTCCAAGTTCATTGCCTCTTTATGGTTTACACTGAAGAATCTGAAAATTCTTTTAAATTGGATTTCCAGGCTGTTACAAAAGTTTATCTGTCAATGTAGAACTCAGGACACATTTAAATATTAGCTTCATATTTATCTTTTGCATATGTATGCTTATGGACTATGGCTTTGACTGAGGCCCCAAATGTCAAAGGTAGGCAATACCACCACATCACACAGTGTGAACTTGGATAAGTACTTGTATATCTGAAACTCCCCCCGTTTTTCTGCCCGAAAACTGAGAAAAATCACAATAATACTTATCACAAGCATTGGAACTACCTGTGATTACTGTCTTGTGCCCTTGGGCCAGGATTTCTTTGTGCCTTCGCTTTCTCATTTGTCTGATGGAAGGATTCTAATGGCATCTGTCTCCAAGTGTTGTCATCAATAATGTAATAGCCTTATGGCAGCATCTGGCACACAATAAATTGTACATGTTAGGTGTTAGAACCCTCCTCCCAGTACTCATGACCCCCTAGCTGGAAACAGCATAATAAGGAAATAAGCAGAAGCCAGCGGTAGGCCTCAGGAACGGAGTTGTGCAGCAGAAAGAGCTGTCCTTGTGTCAAGGCTCAGACCACTTCAGATATTTACAGAATTAACATTTCAAGTTAATTCCCAAACCCAGCCCAGTCCTAAGAGGCTGCCTAGCAGGGAGGCAGAAAATCCTCTGCAGAAACTCCTTGGGTCTCAGGATAGAAGCCAGTAGCATATGGAAACAGCATATGCAGTGATTAGGTCCCGGCCCACCACCTCTGCCGTGTTGGAGCCTGAGATCTGACTCGTAGTCCAGACTCATCCTGTGATTACAAATCAACCCTGGCCTTCACAGGAAGCATGGGGCCTGTTCCTGCTTCCAACTGCAACTGTTACTTTAGCCAAATGTAATCTGATGAATATAAACTAAGAGTTCTGTCCTGGGATAACCTCGATTCTTGTCTGTAAAGAGCTTTGAGATCCACTCAGGAAGGTGAAAAAAAAACAAAAAACAAAAAAAAAAACCCTTACTTTTCTGGTCAGGGACTTGATGGGGGAAGAGAGTGAAGAGACCCAAATGAGTTTCTGCAGAGGTTTTTCTGCATGCCTGTTAGGCGGCCTCTTAGGACTGGGCTGGGTTTGGGAATTAACTTGAAATGTTAATTCTGTAAATATCTGAAGTGGTCTGAGCTTTTATGCAAGGACAGGTCTTTTTACTACGCAACTTGGTCTCTGAGGATTAACGCTGGCTTCTGCTCAGCACCAGAAGTCCATTTCTGGGGTTCACCATCTGCAGCTTAGACCCCAGAAGGGAGCCGCTGGCCAAACTGGTAAGCCCCCAGATCCTCATCTACAGCCACAACATTGTCTCCTCAAGAACCTACTGCAGGCAGGCTCTTCTTCCATCTCTGTTCTGTAGACACATTCCGTCTCAGAAACCTTCTGTTCCTTAGTCATATTGACGCATAAGAAGAGCATGTGATATTATGTCATTCTACGATATTTTCACTTTAAACACTGTTAAGGAAGCACTAAGCTAAGGAGAATAGCGTCTCCCTGTGCAGTTTCTGACAGCCGTCAGAATTTGGAGAAGCTTTTTGTCAGTGTGGTTCTCAGAACCGACAGGCACCTCCCAGGGTCCCTCTCCAGTGTCCCTCTCATCTCGGAACACATTCACTCAGCCCAGTGTTGTCCAGCCTGTGCTTCCACAAGTTTAGATACATCACTGTTTTCCGGCTGTTTGTACAGCCATTTCCCAGAGCTCACGAGCAATCAACAGCAATCAAATCCCAGTGGCAACTGTTTCTATCAAAGCCTTTACATTAGAGTTTCCTTCTGCTTATAGCCAACAGCCTTGTGCTCTGGGGTCATCATGAAATAATGCCCAGCCACTTTTGAATTTGGGAGCTTCTGGATGCATGCATGGTTTATATACCAGGAACGGCACCATTCCAACCCACATGCTCTCTTTTCTAAGGTCCTATTTGGCGTAGAACATAAGTGTGTGGATTGGTTTTCACATTGTGCTCCCCAAGTCCAGAAATAAATCATGAGCATCTTTATGACATTTCTCAAAGGAAGTAGTTGCTGTGTGTGACTGGTAACAAGAGTTTTTTCAAGAGTTAAACATCTGAGCTATTTAAATTCCTCTGCAAAGTATGAAAAGCAAATTAAGTAATCAAAGCAAAAGCACTCAAATCAGAAGAATGAGGAGTGTGGTAGCTCTGTGTGCCTAGGGGGTTGGGAGCAACAACAAATCTGACTGTCAAAACTCAGCCCAAATCTCCAGCTTACACAGAGATTTAGAAAATTTCAAAAGGCCCTCATACAGCTTTTGGGCTGGGTGGAATATACCTGCAGTGTAATCAAGTTAGTGTGAACGGGCATGCTGTTTGCTGGGTAGTGCAGGGTGAGTGTGTGAGTCCAGGGTGTGGGACAGAGTGTGGTAGGCATCTGGGTGTGCCTGTGAAACAGCTGAACTATTTTCTAAACTTTCTGTTTATGAAGGCAGATTAGTTGGACAGCTATAATATGGCATGATTGTCAGTGTGTTTCATCCATGAGAACCAATTTAAACGAGTGAAGCAGTGGCACAATAAACCACATTCTATGCTGTATCTTCTCTGCTCAGAAGAAATCGAAGGTACTGTTAGTTTACACCCCATGAAGGCAAAGTTTTGATTCTACCCTAAATGTACCTTTGCTTGTTTGCATAGCTGTTTCCTGTTTTCACTTATTGGGATATTTCAGCTGTATCTTAACAAATTGAGTGGAAATGGGAGTTTCTGTCCCAACCAAGGCAGATTAGCTTGCTTTATAACAGCCTTGAAGCAGATTTACTATGAGCACTTGAAAATTAGAGGGAGCTAGGCATGGAGGTATACCCCTATAACTATAGCACTTAGGAGACTAAAGCAAGGAATCTTAGATCTGTTCAGCCTGGGAGTGGTGGTGGTGTTTCTAGTCTGTCGAGTATCTTCTATTGGGGAAACCTGCAGAAGGAAAGAACACCAATGGTGGAACAAAATTAATGTTGCTGTATTATATAGCAGCTGTAACAGTTGTGAGCTGACATTTCTGTTTCCTTTTACAAAGGAACACTGTATATAGTCTGGGCATGGTGTTCCACACCTATAATTCTAGCACATGGGTGGTGGAGGCAGAAGGATCAGGAATTCAAAGGCTTTGTAGTGAGTTTGAGGCCCTGTTTCAAAACAAAACATAAAAACAAATATCACAAGTATTTTTTGTTTGAATATAATTTAAGCTTGAGTAGTCAAACTTTAAAGATCTGAGACTATTCATCGGCTTAAAAAGACTTAACCTATCTCGGCCTAGCTCGAGTGTGTTGTTGATTTTATACTTTATAATATATCCAGAGAGTGTTAAATTCCTTTGTCTTTGTTGTATTTGTTTCTCTACTTCCTATATCTTGGCTATGTTTGGCACAGGTGTATATGGTTATCTTATTTGCACTCTTATGGAACACGGACATAAATAAAATCAAAGTCTGAGGAAATCTAATTCTTTCAAGACAACATATGAAAATACATTATCACAAACAATGTATTGTAGTTTTCTCACAAATATAGCTCTAGGGTATCAAAATTATCAAAGGCCTTTTCCTCCTGTAAGGAAGTCAATATACTTAACAAGAAAGAATTTCATCACATTTAGACCTGAGGAGTGAGGGGCAGCACTCGGAGGAGGCTAGAAAGTTAAATCATGTGACATAGCTTGAGCTGGTGGTGATGTACCTTGTGCATCCAGTTACTAATCTTTAATCTTTGTACCAGGCACAGAGCCAGCACATCCAGTTAACCAGGATAAATGATTAAGGGGCATCATGTAAAAATTGCTGAATATAATTCACTATAACCAAATACACAAATCTCTGGAGTCAACTACCTTTTTTCAAAAAGATTTATTTCATTTTATTTTATGTTTATGAGTGTTTTACCTATGTGTATATCTGTGTACTACATGCTTGCCTGGTATCCACATAGGCTAGAAGAGAGCATTGGGTCCCCTGCAGCTGGAGTTACAGAGCGCTATGAGGAACCATGTGGTTGCTGGGAACTGAACCCAGGTCCTCGGCAGAGCAGCCAGTGCTCTGAACTGCTGAGCCACCTCTCCAGTTCTGAAGCCAAATCTTGGTCAGATGAGCTGTAATGATAAGATCCAAACTGTGAGAAAGAACACAACACAAAATACAAACAAAAGAATCTTTGGAGAAGATTTCTATAGATTGAACTTGGGCCCACTGTGACTCTAACACGGCTGCCACTGAGAAGTCATGAGTAAGTAAAGTGTGTGTAAGCACATAATATATTTTACTGTTACAAGGAGGTTGAAATCCAGCAGGTGCTCTGGTCCCGTTTCCTATGTAGGAGGGTCAAAGAGCAGGTCTGAATATGGCTTTTCCCAAGTTTGAGATATTCTTTAAAACATGTTTCACAAGATGTTTGGGCTTCAATTAATTGGATATAATAATAATTACCATCACAGAAAAGAAATGGATAATTTCTGTAATATAAAAGTGAGTCTTATAAATCAATAAGAGAAAGGCATAAATACTCCAGGAAAATAGACAAAAGATACAGACAGGTCAGGAAAAGGAACAAAGAACAGGAAATAGATGTATAAAGATACACTCCACCTCAGTCAGAGTTTAAAAAGTCAAGTTCAAATGATGATGAGATAGTAATTTTCACTTCCATTTGGCACAGGTTCAAAAGAATAGAAAGAGCCGAGAAACGACCTAGCAGATAAAGACACCAGCCACCAAGCCATTCAATCCCAGAATCCACATGGTGGGAGGAGAGGCCTGCAAGCTGTCCTCTGACTTCCACACTTCCATCATGGAACATGCATTCCTCTACATAGAACCACACACAAAATAAATAAAGTAAAAATAAATCTTTAAAAAGCAAGAGAGAGTAGAAAGAAGCCAGGCATGGTGGCACATGCTTGTGATCTCAGCACTTGGGAGGTAGAGGCAGGAGGATCAGGAGTTCAAGACCATCCTCAGATACATAGTAGGTGTCTTAAAGAGAACAAAAAGTAAAAACAAGATATGAAGGTGAAGAGAGCCCAAGGTACAATGTTAGCAAAGGGTTATTTTCATGTATTATGGGGCTAACTGTTTTGTAATCGATATCTATTAAAGTTGATCACTATGCTGTACTTAACTGATGTAAGCTAGAGAAAAGTATACAAAGATGAGTGTATATGGGTCATGGTCGCCTCGTAAATCCTAATAGTATACAGAAAACAAACCATTAGAAGGCTGTGATAGAGTGTGCAGGCTTGCAGAAAGTGTTCCAAGATACAGCAACAACTAAAAAGAGCAAATAACCAAGATAACACAGAAATAATTTAATTTCTGTTTCACAAAACGGGAAAAATCTAAGGGTGTATACACTGAAATGTGAGTATTTGGGGAGGGTAGCATTTTGGAGTACCTTCCATATATATCCTATGCATTTCTTTAATATTGAATCATGTATTAATGTTAAAATAGGACAATGTTAAAAATAATAACATAAACATGTTAAGAAAATGGTCATATGGTTTTCTTGTCAAAGATGTTAAATCTGAATCTAAATAGTCATCTAAATCTATATTCATTAATATTCTCTAAGATGAACAATATGGAGTTCTAAAATTTATTTTTGGGACTGGCGAGATGGTTCAACAGCTAAGAGCACTTGCTGCTCTTCCAGAGGCCTGGAATTCAGTTTCCAGCACTTATGTCAGTCAGCTCACAACTGTCTGTAACTCCAGTTCTAGGGGATCAGATGCTTCTGGCTTCCACAGGCACCTGTACCCACATACAGGTACACACACAGCTACACACAAAATGGTACTAAAAACTCTTTTAAAAATAATTCAATTTGCTGGTCATGATGACACATGCCTTTTATCCCAGCACTTGAGAGGCAGACAGATCTGAGAGTTTGAGGCCAGCCTGGTCTATAAAGTGAGTTCTAGGACAGCCAGGGCTGTGTACAGAGTCCCTATCTTAATAGATAGATAGATGATAGATAGACAGACAGATTGATAAAATTTACCATTAAGTATAAAAATTGGGAACACTATTATAGATTAAAAATAACTAAAGAATTAAGTGAACTTTGCTTAAATTCTCAGTGCAAAATCGCAAAAAAGCATTTTGTAAATGATTTTACTGGGACACAACTGCACTGGTAAATATGACAGGATAGCATTCTAGGATGGAAGATTTGGGAAATACTAATATAGGAAATTCTCCTTTAACTGAACTGTTTTGCACCTCTCCTAGCAGGATTTATGTTATTTAACTTTGATTATTTATAGGAGAGGAAGACTGTTTCCTATCAGGGCTAGGGTTCTGAATTATAGTGGTGCTTGTTGAGGGCTATCAATGATTCATTTATAGAATAACTTATCTGGTTTATAGATTTCAAACTAGTGCCTAAAAGTCAACCAGGATTTATTATAAAGCTGGGAAAGTTATGAGCTGGAGGGGATGTTAAAAATCCTATAGGATTACCCCTATCATGTTACAGATGTGCAGGGAACATGGACATGCAAGGTGACTTACACACAATTAACCAGGAGAATCGGTTTGAGGATTCTTGCCACTACATTCAGAATTCTTACCATAAGTCATTAAGATTTGTTTTACCCTTGCTGAGCATCAAAAATGAACCAGACTTCTCAACTGACTTGCCCAAAGAGAGTCACTTTCTGCACAGAAAGAGGCTAAACACTGAAGAGGAATTACATGATAATCTCAAGGGACAAAGGGCCTCCAACTCCAGTACTTGTAATCATGCAGGCTGTCTGCCCAGTGCAAGCAGAACCAAGACATGGCCTTTGCTTGACTTTTTTGTTACATAAGAAAGCACTGGGAGTTAGAGCCAACATTTTTTTCAGGGGAAAAAAAAAAGCAAACAACTAACAAAAAATTGTTAAGTCCTTTATTCACTTAATAAACATTTCTAGCTTATCTGGTGGAATGATGAATTAAATCCATCAGTCAATGTATTCATTACAAAATGTGTGTATCTTGCCTGGATTAAAGACTCCAGATTGGCACAGCCCCCATTTAAAATGGCCCTCTGAGAAGAGTCTTGTACAGGCATTATTCACTCTGTCCCTGATGCTCTGAGGGGATGTGCATCTTGTGCCTTTACTCTGCCCTGGTTAGTTTTTCTGTCAACTTGAACAAGCTAGAGTCATTTGAGAAGAAGGAATCTCAATTGAGGAAATGCCTCAACCAGGATGTTTTGTGAGCAAGCCTGTGGGGGTATTTTCTTGATTAATGATTGACATAGGAGGGCCCCAGCATACTGTGGGCAGTGCCACCCACGTACAGGTGGTTCTGGGTGGTGTAAGAATGCAGGGTAGGAGAGGCAGGCGGATCTCTGTGAGTTTGAGGCCAGCCTGGTCTACAGAGTGAGATCCAGGAAAGGCGCAAAGCTACACGGAGAAACCCTGTCTCAAAAAACCAAAAAAAAAAAAAAAAAAAAAAAAAAAAAAAAGAATGCAGGGTAGGCAAACCATGGGGAACAAACTAGTAAGCAGCATCCCCCATTGCTGTGGGATGTTCTGTATGTCAAATGTGTTGCTGATTAGTCAATAATTAAAACACTGATTGGCCATTGGCTAGGCAGGAAGTGTAGGCGGGACAAGGAGGAGAATAAAGCTGGGAAGTGGAAGGCTGAGTCAGAGAGACACTGCCAGCCGCCAAGATGAGAAACAGCATGTGAAGATGCCGGTAAGCCACGAGCCATGTGGCAAGGTATAGATTTATAAAAATGGATTAATTTAAGCTGAAAGAACAGTTAGCAAGAAGCCTGCCATGGCCATACAGTTTGAAACCAATACAAGTCTCTGTGTTTACTTGGTCGGGTCTGACGGCTGTGGGACTGGCAGGTGAGAGAGATTTGTCCTGACTGTGGGCCAGGCAGGCAAACTCTACCTACAAATGGCGTCCAACGTGGTGGCAAGAGTTTCCACCTAAAAACCTGAGAAAAGATTCTAAAACGGAGCTAAAAACAGTTCCTAATTGTCTCTCTCAAATGAGCGGCAGCTGCTGGTTTGAGCTACTGGTGGGTTCCTAGCGTGCGTGCTCGACCTGCCTATGGCGGGAATGAGGCCTTTGCAAGTGGCACTTTGAGCTGCATAGTGGATTTAGCCTTTGCTGGTGCAGAGCAAAAGGGGAGGTTTCTGGGCTACACGCTGCTTGGCTAAAAGCATAGACCCACGATAGCTCCCAGAGCTGGCGGTAAACCATGGCCATGTTGGGAAGCTGAGGTGGGTGGAGCCAGCAGCCACAGCTGCTGCAGTTTAAGGCAATAGATTCACAATAAGACAGATTCAGATGTAATAGTTTACAATGTGTGTAAAAGATACGTAGGCTTGAAAGAGACAAAAAAGATGATATATAGAGTTATAGAAATAAATACATAGTTTTAAAAAATAAAGTCTTTAAAGAGACAGTAAAGGTAGTATAAAAAATAAGCCACGTAAAAATGGATATTACACAGAGAATCTGCATTGTGTTGTCTTTGGGACTTTTAACTGCAGAAAAATATTTGATTGTAAAAGCTGTTGAGTTATGCCAAAATGTATATTTTAAAGGTGCCTTGACTTCAAAATTTGGATATAAGGATATGTTACTTTGGAAAGGAGACTCTGCTTTTGTTCCCACAGAAAGCCAAAGGCTATGGATTTGTTCCAGATTAAGATACATCAGGTTTGACCAGCCAAGACCCCCTGAAAGGTCTCCGATGACACCATGGCCCAGATGATCCAACATCCAGAATGGTTTGAAGGCAACTGGCTCAGACGATACACCCTCATGGACTTTTCCATGATCCTAAAATTTTCTTTGTATCCCCATAAGATACAGCGCCCCCCTCCAGCAGGAAGTAGTAAGAGAAGCTACGCCCAAATTCCCAAATTATATGTAATTTTACTTTGTTAAGGTTAAAACCTTCCTTTTTTTTTTTTAAAAAAAAGGGGGGAAGTGCTGTGGGATGTTCTGTATGTCAAATGTGTTGCTGATTAGTCAATAATTAAAACACTGATTGGCCATTGGCTAGGCAGGAAGTGTAGGCGGGACAAGGAGGAGAATAAAGCTGGGAAGTGGAAGGCTGAGTCAGAGAGACACTGCCAGCCGCCAAGATGAGAAACAGCATGTGAAGATGCCGGTAAGCCACGAGCCATGTGGCAAGGTATAGATTTATAAAAATGGATTAATTTAAGCTGAAAGAACAGTTAGCAAGAAGCCTGCCATGGCCATACAGTTTGAAACCAATACAAGTCTCTGTGTTTACTTGGTCGGGTCTGACGGCTGTGGGACTGGCAGGTGAGAGAGATTTGTACTGACTGTGGGCCAGGCAGGAAAACTCTACCTACACCCCATAGCCTCTGCTTCAGTCCCTGCCTCCAGGCTTCTGTCATGACTTCCCTCAGTGATGGACTGTGATGCAGAGGTAGAAGATGAAATAAACCTTTTCCTCCCCACATTGCTTTTGGTCATGGTGTTTTATCATAGCAATAGAAACTCCAACTAAGACACTTGGTTTCCTTGCAATTAATTGAAAGCAGAAAGAGTTTTGCTTGTCAGGAAGAATTTGTCTCTGTTAATTGGAAATAATATTAGAGACTTTCAGGATTTCAATCATGTAAGCATCTCTCTATGCTGAGGCAGTAGAGGGAGAGATATGTAATCAACAGAATGGTTCCAAAATGAAGCAAATTGAATTCTAATTGGTTGGGGATCCCTGGGTGAGGTCATGGTGCTCAAATTTGGGGAAGGGTATGTAATGTTAGCTCAGCTCAGATACGTTAATGCTTAAGTCTCAAGGGAATGAAATGCAGAAACTCAGTGCTAGTTTGACTCTGGACTGTCTTCTGAAGATTATTTGCTAAAGGCTTGGTCACCAACCTAGGAGATGGGATTTAAGGGAGGGAAGTTAGGTTGTTGGAGTATGCTCTTTAAGGAGATACTGGGATCCTGTTCTCTCCTCTGTGTTCCAGCTATCAAGAAATGAGCAGCTTTGTTCTATCATGTGCCCCCACATAATGATGTCCTGTCTTACCATAGGCCTTAGAACAAGGAAACCAGCTGACGATGAGTTGAAAGCCCTGGAACTGTGAGCTGAAATAAAAATGTCCACCTTTTAAGAAGTTTGTCTCAGGTACCTTTTAGCAATAGAAACCTGACTAACAAACTGTGCCCTGGTTATATGTGGGACTGTGAGGACACAGGAGCCGGGTGGGCACAGGAAACCAACTAGCTACAGTTATATTCCAGGTAGGAAGCCTGAGAATGTTGGCTGGCCAACAGGGTGAGGGAGAAAGGGTGAACCCCAAGGGTGCTCCAGAGCCTTCTCAGAGAGAAAGGTAGAAAGTAGGGTCCAGCTCGCAATGCCGGTATGTCTGGCCCAAAACTCAACCACAGTGACTCAAGCTACAGTATATGCTGCATACCGGCTCTCTGTGATCTTCTTTACTTTGGCTATAGACTATTTGAAAACTACCATCCTTTGCCAGCAAATGGCCAGTGCCGTCCATGTGCTTCATTTTGGTTATCATGGAGGACGCTTCCTCAAGGAGTTTATAGTTTTGGAATCTTAAGAAACTCCAGAGGAAATCCAGCTTTATTCAGAGTCAAAAGGCTAGAAGAGTGTAAGGCAAAGCTTAGTTAAGTGTTCAGCGATGTGTTACAGATTGAAAGTGACTCATGGTTGCAGGGGCGGGGAGGGGCAGGGATGGGGGAAGGAGGGGGAGGAGGAGAGAAGGGAGGTCCCTGAAATGGTGGGGGCATGCTGGAAAGGTAGAGAAGTGTCAACACACTCTCTTTCTCAAAACAGTGGAACCTGAGCCTCTTTTCCTTGAAGAGGATTTGAAGAAATGGGGAAGCCATCTCATGAACTGTATGAACAAAGGTAGAAACTTATGGATGACCCAGGTCAGCTTGGGAAACAGTAAATGAGAAAACTTATGGATGATCAACAGTGTTTTCCATTTTTCAGATTACTTACTCAGATTGTATCCTGAGCAAGAACAATTTCCTGTGGTTTATAAATAGGCCCTGGCTATTTTAGTAAACTGCTGTGTTGATGACCCTTCGTGCAATGTTCCATGGAGACTTCAGGTTTCCAGGAGGCAGAAGAAAATGTGTAAATATATGAGAAATGATCCAGAACATGAAGCCCCACCAATAAAAGCCATTGCAAAGTTTGTGAGGAAGGTCTGTCATAACCAGGTACTCATCGTCCCCACCCTTCCTACTTCCTCCTGGTTACTTTGTGGAATACCCAAGGCCTTGGGACAGAATAGACTAGAAGTAGGGATAAGTACAAGAGCTGAGCTCATTTGCCTGAACTCACAGAGAGAGTGGTGCCAGGATTACAATTCAGCTTTCAAAGTTCTTTCAATCCATGCTCAAACACAGAATTTCTATCTACATCCATAACTTAAGAAACCAACAGAACTGCAAAGAACTGAAATTCCCACATTTTCTAGGATGGGAGCCTTTTTGCTATGGCTGAGGATCCCTATTGCCTACACTTGAGGAACATTCCAAACCATTTATACACATTAGCTGGTGTAGTACAGAAAGGAGATATTTCTCTCCGTAGTTAAGGGGTCAAGTTAAAATAGATCTGTGTTTTGTTTGCAATTGGCACTAGGCTCAGTTTTTCTGAACTCTTGTGTCTTCCAGTCCATTCACCAACATTTGAGTGGCTACGTATTGTTCATTATGGCCTCAGAAAGATTTTAAATGAATAAGCATATTTTATTTGTATGTTTCTTTTGGGTTCCTGCTAATGTAGATGTAAAGCAAAAAGGAACTGATGATATCATACCTCCCAATCTTTTGTTTGTTTGTTTGTTTTTTGTTTGTTTTTTCGAGACAGGGTTTCTCTGTGTAGCTTTGTGCCTGCCGAGTGCTGGGATTAAAGGTATGTGCCACCACCGCCCGGCTATACCTCCCAATCTTTTTTTTTTTAATTTTTTTTTTATTTTGCAATACAATTCAGTTCTACATATCAGACATGGATTCCCTTGTTCTTCCCCCTATTGCCCCCCTCACCTTCCCCCAGCCCACCCCCCATTCCCACCTCCTCCAGGGCAAAGCCTCCCCCGCGGACTGAGATCAGTCCAGGTAGGTCCAGTCCCCTCCTCCCAGGCCGAGCCAAGCGATCCTGCATAGGCCCCAGGTTTCAAACAGCCAACTCATGCAATGAGCACAGGACCCGGTCCCACTGCCTGGATGCCTCCCGAACAGATCAAGCCAATCAACTGTCTCACCCATTCAGGAGGCCTGATCCAGTTGGTGACCCCTCAGCCATTGGTTCATAGTTCATGTGTTTCCATTTGTTTGGCTATTTGTCCCTGTGCTTTATCCAACCTTGGTCTCAACAATTCTCACTCATATAAACCCTCCTCATTCTCGCTAATTGGACTCCCAGAGATCCACCCGGGGCTTAGCCATGGATCTCTGCATCCAGATACCTCAGTAGTTGGATGGGGTTTCTAGCACGACAATTAGGGTGTTTGGCCATCCCATCACCAGAGTAGTTCAGTTCGGGCTGTCAGCAGTCTGTTGTGGAGGTATCTTTGTGGATTTCTGTGGGTCTCTCTAGCACTTTGCTTCTTCCTATTCTCATGTGGTCTTCATTTACCATGGTCTCCTATTCCTTGTTCTCCCTCTCTGTTGTTATTCCAGCTAGGATCTCCCGCTCCCCCAAGCTCTCTTTCCCTCGACCCTCACCCTTCATTACCTCCATTCATGTCCAGGCTGTCCATGTAGATCTCTTCCATTTCTCCGTCATTGGGCGATCCCCACCTCCCAATCTTAAACATTAAAAAAAGAGGAGAGGAGGCCCATCATTCACTCACAGATTTGGGTGAATTAAAACTAATAACAATTAAAACAGCAGCAAAGTAATGCAAAAACCCTGCTAGGAAAACATCCACCAACCAATCCTGTTACCTGAAGAAATCACTGTCAAACATCCTCAGACTGTGCAGGAATCCTTCTGTGAGTTGTGCCTAAGACCTCTCTAAATGAGAAGGGTGTTAGCAGCCCTATTCCCTTACAGTTGGGTCAGTCTGTGTCACAATTAAACCACCACCAATAGTGTCTCTGACCATTCCCACAGTCCTTCCAAACGCCTGAAATTTCTAAATACCCCTGAGGTTGAAATGGAAGCTCCACCTAATTTATTGAATGTAACGGCACCTGCTTTAAAATGTCTTTTCATAGCAGAAATTTAGCTAAAGAGTATGATCTGCATGTGTCGATAAGTTTTTTTAGTGAAAAAAGTTTTTTTAATCCTTTTTTATTGATAAAAGTTTTACTTGGTTTAGTCGCACCACACATGTAAGTTTTATATTCACAGGGACTTCCAGATGAAAAGGATGAAGCATTCTTTGTAGACACTCTTTTATATGGATAAGATTGCAACATTGGATTGTATGTTAAACCACCTGATAACTAGAAGCTAAGTCCATGGGGAAAAAAATAAGTTAATGGACATTGAGGAGGCTGATATGTCCTATATCATCATCTTCTTCTTCTTCTTCTTCTTCTTCTTCTTCTTCTTCTTCTTCTTCTTCTTCTTCTTCTTCTTCTTCTTCTTCTTTCTGTCTCCAATATCATTAACTTCAAGATATGAAAAAAACTAGAACAGAAATATTGTGGTTCCTGCTCTGAAAATCAATCAGGTCTTCCCATTTTGATATTTAAAAAACAAAACAAAATAAACAAAAATCACACGAACATATACAAAGACCCAAACCAAAACCAAACCAAGACAGAAAGTATCACTTCCCTGAGATATGGAAGTTGGAGTGGCTTTTCTTCTGTGCAGCCCACAAGAAAAAAATTCAGGTGTCTTCTGCCCTGGGCATTTGCATGTATGTGTGCAGTGTGAGACAGAGTGAGGGTGGGCAGGATACACCTTCCTGCCTTTCTCCAGTATAGCCTGGGAGGGCTTCCCAGAGGGGCTCCCTTCCCAGAGCTACCTCCTGAGTCACCTAGAACAAAAAGGAAGAAGGGATTGGGCTAAGTTATTTTAGAAATGGAAGATGAAACATATACCTCTTAGTTGATTCTTTTAATGAATTTTTAAAATTTACATATGAAGTAGTGAGTTTCATCATGACATTTTCATACACGTATGTCATTGTCCTTTGTTCATGTTCAGTCTCCACCCCCTTTTCTCCCTCTCTCCCTCCTCTCCCTCCTACTGGTTCCCTTTCTCCCCTCATGAAACCTCTTTATGCTTTCATGTCACACACACACACACACACACACACACACACACACACACACACACACGCATTTGCTTATTACATATATGCTTATTTATGAGTATATTTGAAGTCATAGCCCAGAGAGAGGAAAACAAGCAATATTTTGTCTTTTTTTCTCAACTATTGCCCCATCTTGTTACCCCCTCTCTCCCCTCCCTTTGAACTCCTTAACCCTCCTCCCCTATGTGGCCCCCTCTACTTTTATACTATACATACTGTTTGGCATATATGCTTGCTGCTTTCTAAGATGGACTCACTTAGGCTGGCCTCAACCTCGCTATGTGTTCCAGATTAACCTTGAGTGCTCACTCTCCCTGTCTCAGTGGCCTGAGTCCTGGGATTACCGGTGTGTGCCCCCATGCCCAGCTGGGTTCCTATTCCTTCATTTTATTTTTTGAGATTATAATTTAATTGCAACATTTCTTCCTTCCCTTTCCTCCCTCTAAGTTCTCCCATATATCCCTCCCTACTCTCCTTCAAATTCATGGCCTCTTTTTCAGTGTCCTTGCAGCCACCTATCTATCTATCTATCTATCTATCTATCTATCTATCTATCTATCTATCTATCTGTATTTCTTTTTTAAACTTATTTATTTTTGTTTTATGTACATTAGTGTTTTGCCTGAATGTACCTCTGTATGAGGATGTTGGATCTCCTAGAACAGGAGTTATAGACAGGTGTGAGCTGCCATGTGGGTGCTGGGAATTGAACCCAGGTCCTCTGGAAGAGCAGCCAGTGTTCTTAACCTCTGAGCCATCTCTCCAGCCCACACACGTATTTCTAAACATAATCTGTTCAGTCCATATAATGCTATCTGAATGTATTTTTTCAGGGCTCACCCTTTGGCACTGGACAGCAAGTTGGTGTACTCTTCCTTGGGGAAGATGCCCTCTCCCATTTCCAGCTTTCCTCAGTTGTCTATGGTTCTTTGTGTAGGTGTAGGGTTGAGGCCTCATGGGCTTTTCTCCCTAAAGTTGGCATGTTCATTGGGATCATCCTTATTTAGCTCATGTTTGGGTAGCCATATTGGTGAGCCTTTATGGGTGTATCTTCTGATATTACTAAGAGATAATGCTCCCTCTTCTGAAATGTTCCCTGAGTTTTAGCTGCAGGAGTGCTTTGTAGATGTATCCATTAGGACTGGACTCCACAACTCTGCATTTTGATTGGTTATCATTTTCTGTAGTGGTCTCCATCTGTTACAAAGAAAAATTTCCTTGATGAAAAGTGGAGATTACACTTATTTGTGAGCATCAGGGCAAACGTTTATAGATTATTGTCTGAGATTATGGTGGTTTAGTAAATTAGTCATTGTAGATTCAATAACCATGATTTTACTACCACTGAATTTGTTAGCTAGGTTTCCAGTACCAGGCCTGGTCTCTCTCTTGTTGAGCAAGTCTTAAATCCAATTAGAGAGCTGTTGGTTACCACCAGGCATGTGTGTGGCTGCTGCTCTGTGGCAGGGTCCTTGCTGTTGTTCCCTTTGGGGAGGGGGCGAGTAGGTGCAGAGTCAATGACACAGACTCCAGGAGAATGTCAAAACAACAAGCTCAGTTTATTCAGGAAGAGACAAGCCTTAGATACCCTCCACCCCACCCTGGGGGAAAGTCTGATGAATATGCATCTGCTGGTGTGACATGGCTGCCTCTCATTGGTCCAGGTCATCTCCAGATCATGTCTCAGCTGCTGTTGCTAAGGCCATTAGACAGACCCAGGTTGGCTCTCAGAAAGTGTCTTTTTACTGGTTTGGGCCGGCTGCCCTCTGGCCTTTAGGGATGAGTCATCCCACACTGCACCCTTAAGATTATAAAACCATGTTGGTCATTGGGTTTTCTCTTTCTCAAAGCAGCTACGTGGACATCTCTGTAGGCACATGTATCTCTACCACTGTGTAAGTCTATTATAGACTCTTCAGGCAGCTCTACATACCCAAGTGACTAGAAGGAACAAAGTCTCAGCACAGAAATCTCTGCTCAGAATCCCTTTATTGAACTGGTCATAAAAGCAAAAGACTGAAACAACACACAGAAATAAATGTGTGGCATATCATGGAACACTATGACGCTATAATGGTAAAGAAATGGATAGAGGAGATGACAGAAGCTCTCTGGGTGCCATAAGTTAAAAAAGCAAGGGGTAGAACAACCCTTGCAGTATACTCCCTACTGAGTAAGAAGTGAAGGAAAGCTTTAAGAAATACATTTGCTTCTGTTTATATATGCCTAAAGAAACACTGTATTGGTATCCTGGAAGAGTAGTGCTTAACCAATTTACAAATGTGATTTAAAAACCTTTTTTAATGTGGCTTTAATTGTGGTTTCTTATGTGGAATGGAGTGGGAGTAAAGTAACTGGAAATGAGGTTGAGTGAAGTAAATAAAGGTATATTTTTAAATTTTAATTTTTTATTATGTGTATGTGATGTGTGGTAGTGGGTTGCAGAGTGGAAGTGCATGCTATGGTGTATATGTCCAGGCTAGAAGATAACTTGTGGAACTGGTTCTCTCCTTGTAACTATATGCAGGTTCTGATGATTAAACTCAAGTACAGCACTGAGCCATCTTACCAGCCCAGGGTATATAGCTTTAACATTATTTCGATATGTATGTGTGTGTGTGTGTGTTGTACTCATGTGTGTGCACAAATGAGTGTAGACATGCTTACCCATGCATCTGCATGTGGAGACCACAACAAAACAATGTCAGCTATC